TTTTTTTTTTTTTTCTGTATATAGAGCAGCATGCACCTGCCTGGCAAAGCGCCAGCATTGGAAGAATGTGGGATCTACTGTAATTCCAGTTCTGGAATGATATTTAACACTTTCCAGTTTTATTATTTAAATTCTGATAATTGAATTTGCAAAGGGTTCTGAACACTCTGGGTGGATCAGGAGTACAGAGCGAATGCTGTTTTTCAAGGCATTTGTTTAAGGCATATTTTCAGTGGCAATACTAAACCTGTGTGTACTGTGAAAAGGAAGTGCTCATCTTTGTACCATACTGCTGCTATATATACTTTTAAAAAGCTGTTTAAAGAAGAGAAATCCTCTTTAGAAAACAAAATCAAGCCAAGCAAAAGCGGTTTTTAAATGGCAGGGAAGTCTGCTATCCCTTTTCCAGGGAGACCGAGTCATCTGTCCAGGCCTGAAAGGACCTAAAATAAACCATTCAATATGCAGCTGCTTCAGCCCCTTTTTAGTAACACACACACTGCCCTTGGGTTGGTTTTTGAAACAGCATTGTGGAAAGGGGAGGGCAGAAATATTAAATGCTTTCTTCAGATGCTGCCCTCGTAAACACTGGTTCAGGGGGGTGGCAGGGGACAAACAGTGCCTGCCGTCCTGCTAAACTTGTGCTGCTTGAACCTAAACTTGCTCATGAAAACACCATGTTTTGGGTGCTGTAAGGTGTGTGCATCCTCAGCCAGCTGCAGCTTCTCCCCCTAAATGTGTTCATGAGGAAACAGGGACACAGCACAGATGGAAGTGGTTCTGGCAGTGCAGTTGCTGTTGCTGTTACCTTTGCCATGTCACTGTCCCGTGGGCGTGAGCAGTGAATTGCAATTTGAATATTTTCGACAACTTTCACACCGCCTGGGCTGTATCTTGTTATGTTGAATTTTTGCACACCCTGTGAGGTTTTTAAAGCCTTTGAACTCCCAGTTAATGAAATGAGAATTGCTTTATTTTGAGAGCGATGCTGGAACCTGCTGTATCTGAGGCGTGGAGCTGGTTCTGCAGTAACGTGAGTTCTGCAGCACGAGAAACTCAGATTGAAAACTCTGAGAGGTTTCCACGGGAGCTGATGGTAAATGTGGTCACTTCCTGTGCGTTGGTGTTTCAGTTTTGTACTGGGGAAGGTGATGAGTGATTGTGTTTCTTTCCTGACAGATGTCTTCTTGTGGAGTAAAGGCTGCACAATTCAAGATTTTTCTGTAGTCAAACATGTGCACAAACTTGCAATTATTTTTTTTTTTAATTTTCCATTTTAAGCTCGTAGGGATTTACAAGCCTTAATTAAATCAAGTTAAGAGAAGAACAAACAAAAGATTTTTCAAGGATCAAGATCTCTCTACCCTGCATGTAAAGCAGAAATGATGGCTTGCTCCAAAAGAGAGTTCTTCACCAGCTGCTCATGTAACCAGCAGAGGATAAAGTTGCACAAAATCTGTACAAGGTACAGTTATAGTTAAACAAAATTTCATTTCTCTTCATGTCTCTTCAAAGGTGCCTGATAAACTGCTTTAAATATTACTACTTCTCAAGTATGTGGGGTTTCAGCTTTTCTGCTTGAAAAAGACAGCAAATTGTAGCTATAACGTGCCACAATTATTTTGCAGAGGAATAAAAAAGCCACTAAGTCATACAGTAGCAGTTGCTGTTCATTGCAATTTAAATAGGGAGTTGTTTGCAGTTAGGAGCAAAAACCAGATGGGCAGAGGCACACAGCATCAGTTAACTGTGACAAAAAGCTTCCAAAACTTTGAGAACAACGTAACAAAAGTGCAAAAATACTAAAAATAATTAAGATTTTAAAATAAAAATTGTCCTAGGAATACAAACGTGTAATGAAAAAAAAAAAAAAGGTTTTCATAGTTAAACTATTTATAAAACCTGAATCTCTTGGCTCTTGTGCAGTCCAGATCATAACACTGAGCACACTTTCCTTTTCCTGTGGCGCTTGGCTTTTTTCATGGCATTCAGTGCAATGGTTGTTGCTTCTTTAAAAACATTTTCTATGTTTTCACGGCATTTTGCTGAG